TCCCAGGGGCCGGCACCGCCTTCGGGACACGCCTGTCCCCTGCTGGTCACCGTGTCCGTGACACCGCCCCGGCACCCGGCTCAGCCCGAGCACCGCCCGTGCCATCGGCACAGCACATCCTCCTCTCGTCTGCGGCGGTACTCGGACCCAGAAAATCCCGGAAACATCCCAACTCAGTCTGCAGGAAGATCTTTGCAAAACCAGCTGTGGTCATCAATGGTTGCCAGCTGCTGCTGCCTTTCCCCCACCCTCATTCCACGGCCTTCAAATTCCACTTGGAAATAGGAGTCTGCAGATGCAGATCACAGCTGGCCAGGGGATACACTGCTGCAGGGGTACGCTGCAGCCTCACCAAGTCTGTCTATTCCACAGCCCATTCCCGCTTGTTCTCTTGACAAGCACCAGTGATAAGAGTGGCTCATCAGATATGGATCCTGCCAGAGTGCATCAGCAGAATTGTGTATTGAACACTGACTTCAGTGACAGTCTTTGCTGCCTAGGAAACAAACTAGCTAAAAGGACTGCGAATTCAAAGCCTTACAGTTTGCAGGCTGGAACTTAAGGACTAGTGCCTAGAGCTGCTTGAATTATTTCCTTAAAATTGGTTTTGAACACGAAAATGGATTTAAACACCACAACCACCACCCCTTTTCCTCCCTGAAGTTGTCTACTTTTGCTTCAGACACAATCTGAATGGTCTGAATACCTTCTGCTCTCATTCTCCTGCACGGTCTGTAGCTTCCCTCTCCCATGGAAGAAAGGTATCCCAGGCAGCACAGTGGCCAGGCACTTGTGATGCACCCTCTCACAGTAAGAGGAGATCTCAAACAGTAACAACGGCTACTGCAGTTCAGGTGAACTTGAAGGCAGAATAACCAACCTGGATGAACCAGCTTTTAACAGATATGAGTTGCCACTAGAATTTCCACTGGAAAAGTTTCTTCCCTTAATAGGAAAAAAAAATTTCTTCCTAAATGACTCTACATGGTGGTACATGGGCCATTGAAAAGTTGAAACTGCCTGCTGTAAAAAAAAAATAATAAAAAAACCAAACCAAACCAAACCAAACAAACAAAAAAAACCCACCCCAAAACATGGTCGTTGTCTCAGGTCAGTACTAGTAACAACACAGAATTACTACTTCTGCAAATACCAGCTGGTATCTTTGCATTTGGTAACATATGCATGGAGAAAATCCTCCCACAGGAGCTTGTGACTTCTGGGTAGCAACCAAATGGGAAATGCTTGTCTGATAAATGGTGGACCTCAAGATAGAAACACGCATCTTTGTCCCATGAGACCTTGAGACCTGACAAAAAAACATGTTCTGAAAGTCTTCCAATATGGAAGAAAAAAATCCTGAACTGTCAGGGAGAAAAAAAACCCAGAAAAACTAAAGATACATTTTCATTACTGATGGGGATAAGTGATTAATATGCCAATGCTTGGTACATGCCAATTGTGTAAAGAGAAAGTGAAACTAACCCCAGACTTGCAAAATGCTAATCATGAGGCTGAATAATGCTACCATTGCCAATGAAACTGGAACAGGAAAGTGCTCTCCACTTCACACAACCACCTTCAGGGAGCAAAGTTCCTCTTCTGCACATCTAGCCAGTTGATAGAGATTTCTTGTAGCCAATGAAAAGCCACAGACACGACTAGACCACAGAGTATATGAACAATTTTGGACATCTGCAGTAGAGTGGGACAAATTACATTTCATCTGTGCATCCTAATTCCTTAGTTTCTGTAATGATGATCATTGATAGTGGGGTAGGATGTGAATAGAGGCAATTTTTGCTTCTTCGTAAGATAGAAAATATAAACTTTTGTCACTAAGGATGAAGGATGGGGAGCCTGTCAGGGGGAAAGTTTATTTTTGTGACAGACTGGAACATGAGATCATGGATTCAGAATGGAAATCCAAGGGGAGAGGTTGTTCTTGAGCTGATGGGATGAACTGAAAGAATTAGTGATGGTCCTTAAGAGGAAAAGCTTTCCCCACCTGATATACCAAACTCTCCTCTCAACATTAAGAGCCTTCCAGAGCTCTGGATCAGCTCTGAGCGTTCTGCTTCCTCTAGTAACTAATAACCATTATGTCTTTGTTCTTTCTGGGGTATTAAAATAATTTCACTATTGTTTAGGAAAACTGAACTGAACACAAAAGTTTATTTTACTGATCATACATCATTGACCATATAGAATCCTTGTCAGACCATGTGATTTTGGAAAGAATGTGAAAAGGCTTTGTAGAGTTCTGCCACCAAATTCTATGAGAACCTGCAGACCACTGCATTTCACTCAGTTAACTTCTAATTAATAAGTTATATAGTTAAGGAATGGTCTTAGCTAATTGTGTAGCATTACACATAGTGAGGTATTTTTCTGAGTGAAAAATGAATGAGCTGCCCTACAATAAGTAGTAACCAAAAATTTGGACTGAAGCCCAAATTTAATAATAATTTATGTTTCATTAACTTCCCTGGAGTTTTAAGCTTTATTATCCCTGCTACTGACTTTATTATTAAAAATAAAAGAGCCAGGCAAAATTATTTTAATATACATAAATATAATCCAAAAGGGAGTTAATAATATATCTTACCATAGAACAAAAAGAATAGATACTACTCCTGGTGCACTATATCCCCTTTCGTATATTTCCTACAACAAAACACAAGTCACACTAATTCCATAAGAAAACATTATTTTGTTTCTTTTTCACATATAAACTGTTATTAAGAGTATGTAACACTATTTAGATCACAATGATTTCAGTAGGAAACTTAACTCCGCAGTTTAAAATCTTGAATGCATTGTTCTAACTATAAGGAGACTTTCTTCAAGTCCTGGCTTGCAAAGCTTTGACTTAAGCTATTTAAGAAGAAGAAGGGAAAAAAAAAAAAAAAAAAAAAAAAAAAAAAAAAAAAAAAAAAAAAAAAAAAAAAGAAGACAAAAAGAAAAAAGACTCTACTTGGCAAGAGCTTTAATTAGCAGAAATTTCCACGCTAGGAATATTATTCTGCATGAGCAGAAATTGCATAGCTCTTGCCTCTAGATGCCTTAGAGATGCCATTGATTGGCCATATTCAGAACAGGGGAATTATGTGACCCAGTGCTAATTTGAATTCCTTTACCAAACACATTTTTATTTCATCATCTCAGCTGCATAAAAGAGTCAAAGTACCACAGCTTTAAAGACTTTGAATTCCTGCTGTTCTGCAATAAAATAAGGCAAGAAATATTAGACATCCCTGGTTGATTCTTCAATTCTTTCCCAACAATGTCAAAGTATCAGTGTCCTACAGGTTTTAGTGCAGGTTAAAGACTGATACAAAGTGTATGCCTGAATAGAAGTTTGGAGTGAGTTAAGGAGAGGGAGAACATTTTAATGGGACATTGGTCCAAAATAGCCCAGCTTGTTTCTACCTCCTGCTGCCTCTTCCTCCTTTTCACAGGACCTTGATTGTATAGAAACAGTACAGACAAAAACCACAAACAACAAAAGGTTCGCTCACACCCCCAGTGGAGGTCATGAGCATGCTACCATGGAGAAAAAAAAAAAAAGCATCAAAGGGTAGTTTGGCTTACTTATAAGCAAAGATTAATTAATAGGAGGTTTGATACTTTAGCAATGTACATTTGGGCAAATTTGTATTTGCAAATTGTTTGTTCGCACATTCAAAGGGCACAGAGCAATGAGGCCTGGTGCTAGTTTTAAAAATGAATCAAACCTTTCTTTGCCATGATCCAAAAACTACAAACTTGTGGTTCAGATGCTTTCAATAGTATCTGCTCAGACTTGACACTCCAAGGTTAAAAAAAAAGCACAAAAGAGTTGTGTTATACACAGCAACAGTAGCTTTTTCCAACAATTTTTCAATTATTGTATTGTATACTCTCCAAGAAAAGTAACTGCCTTGGCTACCAGAGAAAAAGCTTTTAAAAAAGGAGGCAGAATTTTTAAATTCCCTTAATATATACCTCGCTCCTTATAGGTTGTCTTTAAAACTGCTATTCATTACACCAGCATTTATACCCGCTGGATGACTATGATTCAGAACTACCTGTGTCACATGATGAATAAGTGCAACATGCACCATTCACTTTCAAATCAACCCCCTCCGACCTAAGCCATGTAAATCCTTCAGAAATTCACACCACTATTCTCCTCCTCCAAATCACACATAGAAATAGCCCAATGACGAAAGTGTACCAATGCACAGCCCCTTTAACCCCGACCATTTAAGTATCTGCTTGGAATTATCAGTGACCCTTGTTGCACTCCTGGCTAGCTCACTCTGGTTCTTCTAGAGTACGGAGCCACGGGGACTTCTCTTTTCTCCGGGGTCCTTGAAATAAACATTATTCACAGCGTTGCCTTTACAAGACAGCAAAGACCAAACAGCAAAGACTCTTCCACTTTCGGCACGTACATGCGCACCCTTCCCTTGTCATGCTGTCCCTGCCATCCACTCACCCTTCCGTCCCCTCACCTCCTGCCCGCCCTGCTTGGTATCTATTGCTTCTATCTTTCAGGAATTATTTTCAAGCCCCCTGCCTCCCGGCTTGCGCAGGCAGCCAAGGTGCCGTCCTGCCGCAGCGCTGGATGCCGCAGCGGCGGCGGTGACATGTGTCTCTCATCAGCAGCTGGGCGCTGATGAATTTAGACCCTTTTCCCGCTACGCTTTAAGGAGCGGGGAAGCCCCACGCTGGAGAAACGCAGCGTTCCCTCCCGCAGTCCCCCCGCACCCGGACCCCTGGAGCTGCCCCCGCTCCGCCGCCCCCGGCCCGCAGCTCCTCGCCCCCGGGCCCGGGGATTGGCCCGGCGGAGGCGGCATCAGCGGCGGGGGGGGGCCGCCCCCACCCTCCCTCCTCCTCCCTGGCCCCGCCGCCCCCTCGCCCCGGTGCGGCAGGGCCAACCGGGAGACCCAGACGCAGGCAGCGACCCAGCCGCCGCCGCTCCGCGCCCGGCCGCCCGCCCGCAGCATCCCCCGATGGCCGCCCGCCTGACCTGCTGCCTCCTGCTGTGGGCCCTGGGCCATGGGGGCTGCCGCTCGCCCGCGGGGGAGGGCGCCGGCAGCGCGCCCGCCTGCCCCGTCCAGCCGCCGGCCGAGCCGGACTCGTCCGCCCCCGGCCGCGACCCCCGCGGCGGCTCTTCGCCGCCCCCTGGGCTGGGCGGCATCGCTCAGGACATGGTAGCTGTCCACATGCTTAAGCTCTACGAGAAGTACAACCGGGAAGGGAGCCGGCCCGGCGACGGCAACACGGTCCGCAGCTTCAAAGCCAGGCCGGGTAAGACGGGCCGGGCGCGGAGGGCACCGCTGGAGCCCCCTCGCTCCTCTTTCGCTTTAAAGTGACGGGTTTGCGTCGAGGTGGTCATTGACTGGGCGGGGTGTCACTCTGGGTGAATGCTGGGGGGTCCCCTGCTACCTACAGGAACAGGGTGTCGCCCCTCGCTTTGAGGACGGCTTCCCACCTTCCCTGGCTCCCTTCCCTTCCCGGAGAGTATCTCCCTTGGGAAAGTCTCCGTTGCTGTGAATGCAGACCAGAGGCAAAAGAAGCGCCGTTCCTAGCGCACATCGCACTGGGCCAAAAGATCTTTTTAGAAATACTTGGAGCATAAGCCTAGCAGCGAGTGCTCCAGACACTGGTCCTCTCCTCGGCTGTTCCCGCAGCCTCTGAAGTTCCTGCTAGGAAGAGTGCCGCCTACAGGACCGCCTAAAACTGCTCGGTGTCTTAAATTCCTTGCACTGCCTAAACCTGAGAAGACACATACCTGACCTCCCTCTCCCCAGTTTTACTTGGCTTGATTATGAAGGTGGAGAAATATAGGTATTGTGTCAAAACTACACTTTCATTATCCCAGTATTACGTCAAATAATAAAAAGGAGGTTTGCCTAGTTAATAATCCATACATTCGTTATCTTTTGCCAAGGAAATGCAAACTCTCTTTTCTGGAAAACACCTTCCTTCTTTGGTTAACACTTACAGACTGTAACTAAGATCTTAGTTCTTAAAATAAGAACTGTATCAGCTTCCAGAATCTAGTTGTTACTATCGTGTCAGAAATATTCATTATTCTATTTAGACAAATCTAATGCATTGAAACTCACAAAAGCAAATTTTGCATTAATCTATTTCTCTTCCATTTAAGTCTCATGTATACAGTACAATGCAGCATACAGTGTTTTAGAGAATGCTTACTGTAATATTGCACAATAATTCATATTCTCTTGTGCACCCCAACTTAATTTCTATCCTATGTCAATTGTAATACTAGAAAGGAATCATATTCAAGGAGGGGCAAACTCCATGGAAAAGTAAGTGGCTAATGAAAATGTTTAAAAATCTAGGAGTTATGATGTAAAGCAATTGCAGACATTTGGGAGAAAAATGAATTGTCATGCTCTAGATCGTTTGCTAGCGGTTGCTATAATAGGGGTTAAGAAGGAACTTCCACTGTGCAGGTTTTTTCATGACCTCCTGTTAACGCTTTATTTTTCTGTGAACTGAGCAGCTAATACTGGCTGTCACCCAAAAAAGGCCCTGGACTACAGGGATTTGGGGATAAGGCAAGAATTACACTACATTCTTTTTCTTAATTTTTCAAATAATCGGATGCACACACTACTTGCATCAAAGTAGTCTAAGTTATAATTCTGTTTTAAAACACTAAAGTAGCAGCATTTTCTACCCAAGGGTAGATTGTGCTGGTCAAATTCAAATCAATATTATTTCACTCATTTCTCTGATCATGCAACCAAGGCAGAGAGGTCTGAAGTTAACTTGGCTTTCCCTGCAGTGGAAATAAGGTATGTCTATGTCCAGAACTCCTGTCTCCTGTGTCCTATCTATATACTTCCTCTACTGGATCCCATCTTTACCAAATAACGTGGCATGAAAGCAGAAGCTCCTCTTCACTGTTCCTTTGAACTGTTTTCATCAAGTTAGTGATAAACACCATAAAATGTACCATAGAATGATGCAAGATGAGGGAGGAGAGAAGAACCATATCTTCCACCACAATTATCTGTTCTGAGAAATTCTAGTTTCCTTCTGAAAGAGGAAATTGGCGTGTTTTTCTAACAAGATGTGCAGAACATCCATTCTTTATAAAACACGGATAATAATTGCAGTCCTATTGCAATAAGCAAAACAGACTACACACAATAATTTTCATAATCCCAAGCAATGGACTTACTTCTTTTATCACATACCTTTCAGAAAAACTGTAACAGTCTGTTCCTGCAGTGCTGTTTGAAGCTGTTTGTGAGGTGACTCTCAAGCATCAGGGTTACTTGCAGTTGTCAAGATGAGGGCTCTGGAGATACAAAATGTTGGTCCAGACATTCGTCCTTTGTCATATGTGTTATGGAGTTCTCCTCACCCACCCAATTGTATTGCCAGCCTACCTGCTCCCTAGAGGGTATAGATGGTGTTGTCTGAGCTATGGAATGTCTAATATTTTTCCATATTCAGTGTGAGGCACTTGAAATACAAATGCATGTGCTGTTTACATGTAGCCCAAATACAACTTTTTTTTTTGTTCCTCTAGCATACTTGCCCCTTCAGAAAGAGTACTTCACAAACATCTGATCCCCTCCTCTCAGCTCACCTCTACATGTGTTCACAGGGATTCTTTTTTTTTTTTTTCCTATGGAGTTGAGACATGGTCTAAGAACTAATTTCTCAGGTTTCTTATTTCTTTAGATTCTTTCCAGTTTTCAGGGAACGTTGTAGCTTTAGAAAACAGCACCAACTGGCTGAAGTTAGCCAAGTCATAATTAGTTTGCGTTCAAATGTGAAATATTAAGTTATTGTCCAGCTTCACCTGAATTGCTCAGATTGAGGGGATTTAATCTTTATGGTAGCAATTTGCTGCCTAACCATGAAACTTCCCCATAAATTGACTCCTGCAGCTCAGACTCATTCCCTGAACATGATGCGTCCTCTGTGCTAAACAAAGCAAAGACCTTAATGAATAGTAGAAAATAGAAGATATTTAATTAAGACTGTATCATAATGCATATGTGCAAGAAAACCAAATCAAGACTGACAAGTTGGTAAATGCCTGAGTGAACTTATGCAATATGGAAATACAGCTATGCTCCATCCAAAACCCAACTTCTTCTAAATTCCTAAGAAGACTGTGCTTCTTGTCTTCTGGTTTTTCAATAGGTGCAAATTCATAGATTCTTACTCTGCTTTACAAAGAATTTTTACTTTTGAAGGGTGTGTTTCATTCTAGAGTACAGAATTATTTTAGATTAATTCAGCCTTCCTTACCCTGATCTATCATTACAAGCTGCCTTCCCTTCTGAAACCCTGCGACACTGCTGTTTGAAATGTCTTTATTCCAACAATGTTTGTACTCAAAGCAGTAACTACAGAGCTGATGGTGCTTGGAGCATTCTATTACTAAAAGAAATATTTAAAAATTGAACTGTACACAGCTCGGGTGGAGAGAACTAGTAGATAGACTTCTTTTTAGAAACATATGCTTTCTGAAATGACCGTGCAATAATAAAGCCTGGTGTTCTAAAGGACGTATTATAATTACTCTTCCTTGGCCTGAGAAATCATCTAAGTAGCCTTGTGAAATTTCTGTGCTTCAAAGACTTGAATAACATCTAAACCCTTAAGTTTTTTCATAGTATGAGCGCCTATATATATGACTACTGTTGATTAAAATTTACTAATAAGAATCCTGTCCTGAACTGACAGAAACAGGTTCTTATCACATCAGTGCAAGTTGTTCCACTTCACTGTATCAGGAGCAAAATACAGATGGTGCAGATGGAAAGGGCATACTTGAACGTTTGTACTCTGAGACTGCCTGTGTGATTAATGATCATGTTAACCTGCTGTTGTTTTAGTCCAAATCATGGTTCTATCCATGCATTAACCGGGAGATAGCAACCACCGATTTAGTAAGGTGTAGCTCTCTTTCAAATGAAGCTGTGCTTTAAAGGAGGAATGTTCCAACACGTGGCAGTTAACGGTACTGCCTTTCTCTTGGTGCAAAAATTTCTGTGGCTTGTCATCTGTAGTGTACTGAAAAACACACCTAAGTGTTTCTGAGAAGCCTGGCTGTTGCATTTCTTGGGTTTTGTTTGGTTTGGGGTGGTTTTTTACCTCCTCCTGCCAGAGAATTTTCAGGTGTGTCAGGGCTGCTAGAGGGTTGGTCCACCTAGGGTTAATTAAAGATGCAGACTTACCAACTGTAATCTTTTGATGCATTCTAAGTAGTGGTGGGAGCTTGGGAGAACAGGAATCACTTCTTGGTTCTGCCACCACTTTCCATATACTGTTGAGCTAGTAAAAAAACAAAGGCAACTTTTCACAATGATAGACTATTAAGGCATTGTCTTTTTATGCTGGGATGGGATTACATTTTAACACACTAAGAGAGGTTTCTACTGTTTAAATAAACTTGGTGTAAGCAGTGTAAAATTGCTCATCTTCCTCAAAGGGAGGGTGAAGATGTAAGCTGAGCACAAACTGTTCGACTAGCTAAAAAGAAGCTGTTTGAAAAGGAGTTTGAATTTTAAGAGTCAGCTCCTGTTCAATAGCATTTGTCACTAACTTCATACAGATCTAAACACAAGCCGTAGAAACCAAGTGTGTTTTTACAGTGCTTTAAACAAAGCTCCTACATGATGTGTACTGGAAAGGAGGATTGCTCAGAGTAATGATCCCCAAAATGTGTTACACTGCTTACTGTCAGCCCCCTTGTGAAATGTCTCGTGTGCACTACTCGCAGATGATGAGCTGTTGCCCACATAAGTTACCACCCAGACATCTTTCAGGAATCTGCAGTCAGCTTTAGATTAGACAATCTTGAATATTAACTGTAAACCTGGTTTCTGCTAGTATTGGTTTCAGCAAGGTGTTTCTTTGAGTTCTGCCACAGGTAAATTTGACAACTTCTCTGAGCCTGATTGTTACAAATGAAATACAATAAAGGATTGCTTTTCTTGCCTGCCTAGAATGAAAGGCAGTCTGGAACTAAAAATCTCTGGAAAGAATTTTACCCCTCATGTATACAAAAGATGCCCAGTATGTTGCACACTCTCAATGGTACTGTAATATTGCTATTAAATAGTTAAGGCTTTTTCCTCCTCTTATTCACCATAGTTTTAAGCTGAAGTGACAAGCTTACTATACTAAATGACTTGATGTAAGTGAAAAGTAAAATTTGTTAATTTACTTAAATGGAAATAAGATTTGACTACCATTTTTGGTTTCAGATATATATCTGTGTTTTCCTTGCTCTCTTGCAGAATTCTTGGCCCAGAAACCCTTGTACTGTTTCAATCTGACATCCATGCAAGATTCAGAAATGATCCTTGCTGCCACTTTTCACTTCTACGCTGACAAACGCCCTCGGCACCGGGAAGTGTTTTGTAAACGCTCTAAGAACTCGTCCTGCCGCCTTCTCCACCTGCCTCCAGTCCTACGGCTCAACCTAGTTTTCCAAAGCATTCACCAGAATTCTGCCTATGGTCTAGTGAAAGGGAACTTCACTGTGCTTCTTCAAAGGCGAGGGACTTGGCATGCAAAGGACATTTCACACATTGTAAAAGAGTCAAAACGAGCTGGAGAGCTCATTCTCTGTGCTGAGCTTGATTCTGGGGAGAAACACCAGGGCTTCCCCGAACAGGTTGCCAGCCATTTCCCTTATATACTGGTTTATGCCAATGATCTTGCAATCTCTGAACCTAACAGTGTGGCAGGCACCCTACAACGTTATGATCCATTCCCTTCCAATGATGGGGACCCAAATCTATCCCCTAATGCTTCTACTGATACTCGAGTTAGGAGGGATACTTACGTTGCTAGCTCCATTCAGAACAACGAGTTGCCAGAAGTAGATTATAACAACAATAAATACAACAAACATGACATATGGGAGAATGCCTACAGATCCTTGAAACCAAAAGCTTCACGCAAAGATCGAAGGAGAAAAGGGCAGGAAAATACAGAAACACTTAAAAAGTCTCAGGTGCTAAATTTTGATGAGAAAACAATGAAGAAAGCAAGACGAAAACAATGGAATGAGCCAAGGATTTGTTCAAGAAGATACATGAAAGTTGACTTTGCTGATATTGGCTGGAATGAATGGATCATATCTCCCAAATCATTTGATGCCTACTACTGTGCAGGTGCATGTGAATTTCCAATGCCCAAGGTAGTATGCCTTTTTATTCTTATCAGCTTGCAAACAGTAAGCCTACTTCTTTAGTTAGAATTTCCATTAGGTTTTTGCCTTTTTCATTGTGTTTTTTTGCCTTGACCTAAATAATTTAAACAATATTGTTTCCATCAACTTAGTCATCAGAGTGCAAAAGGATTTCCAGTTTTCTTCAAATGCAATCTGAAGAATAGGAAAAAATATCTCAGGTTTATCTTACAATTTCTCATCTCTTGAAACCATACATAAAGACTTTTGTGGCTTATGAAAATACGGTTATACATACTAAATCATCCAAATACTCTATTGTAGTGACAGAAGTATGAAGTATTATATGCTAGTATTAAAACAAGCTACTCTATCACCATATTTCTGGATTCCACTTGTAATACCTTAGAAGAAAAAATGAAGAGTAGTTATACTGAGGTATTTTTAACTTCAGGAAACTGCTTGTCACTATTGAAAAGAGTAATACTGATTAAGATGATATTTGTGTATCTAAATTCTAAATATGTTAGATAATTCTGCTGGAACAAAAAAGTTGATTTACCTTATATCTCTAGAAATGCCACAAAACTGGCTCTAGCACCCTAAAGTAAGTACACTGAATTCCTCCTATAGAAGCAGTGTGAAATTTGTCAGTGGAGAGACAAACATTTGTCTCACTCCCACTCTGCTCTATGGCAAGAACTAGAAAGGTTGGTAATCCTGTGTTGGACAAGAATTTTTAGAATTTTAAAAGGCTTTCAAGTAATGGCAGAGGGGAGGATCTGAAGCACTGCATAACCTGCATATTTAGAAACTGTAATTATTTTGCAATTCTGCCTACAAATGGCCTGATTATTTGTTCGACTGACATTTTTGTATGTGGTCATTTGGCACATAAATAAAGCATAGTGCTTAACAGCACAGAATTTCAAGGCTCTGAAACAGGAATCTGCCCTACTTTATATCCAGGAAGACTGATGTATGTTTGTGTTGAAACAAGTAGTATAATTTCAGGAAGAGTAGATATGTGGGCTATTTTTAAGTCCAGGAACAGTGGAAATCCAGACTTCATGGTAGGCTGTACAGATCAGACCCCACGTTCTTGTGTAGCTGCCAATGCTGAACCAGGTGTACATAAACTGATACATGGTCTGGCAAAAATTAAAGCTTGCACTTCAACAACTTCACTTTGTTGTTTTAATATAAATTGATCGTGCAACATAATCACCATTTAACTTGTCCAAAACAAAAGATAGTCTGGGAATATGGTCCTTTACCATAGACTCACAGTCTAATGCACCATTCCCACACAACAACATAAACCTAGAAAAAAAAGAAATCCCCAACCAAACAACAACCCCACCCTTTAAAAAAGATGCATTTAACACATCTGACTTGTTGTGAGCAAAACAGCATTACACAAAAGCTGGTAGGGCCAGAAGAGAGAGAATCCATTTCTAGCTTGGATAGTTACATAAGCTTATATTGCTCACTTACTTAATATCTTATCTAGAAATATAAGAAAATACTTGATATATAATAAGGATTCCCTTTGACTTGCATCTTGATGCTCAAAAACCGAAATAAGGGAAACAAAAACCCAACTGATTAAACAAAACAAAACAAAAAAACCCAGAGAAACTAAATCACCGATACATAGATTTGGGAATTCTGGGTTTGATACACATTCATTGATTTGGTTTGCTGTGGAAGAGGTCTACTACTTGTTAGCTTTGTCTTTTTAAGAGGGAAAAAGAGAAGCAGATTCAAAAGTGTAACTTTTTTTAGTGATGGTTTCAAAAGGAAGAGAGAGAGGACACCAGCATGAATGAAGATTCAGTTCAGAGCATAAGAACTGCTAAATATTACTGAGGAAGAAATTTTTTCCTTCACATATGCTCTAAGTCAGGAAAGTATCAAAGGCCAGATTAAAGATATTCATAAAGACTTGGTCTACACAGTCAACCTAAGATGGACAACAGACACCTTATTTCCAAGTGTGGAGGTAGAGTTACATACCTGGCATGTTGGGTATCATCACATTGCAGGTTTTTTGGTTTTTTTCTTAAGTATCAGTACATCCTTCTGCACATCCACTTTAATAACTACAAGTCTTGATTTAGATAGATACTCAACAGTTTAGATACAAATCTTCCCATAGTAAATTCACTTACCTTCCTGCTGAATTTCTTTTTCCCTGAACTCTGAGGAGGAAGACTAGATTATATGTATGGCTGGCTGCACTGCTGCATTTGCCAAATAAATTCCAGTCCTGCATGTCATAGAACCTGGTGTGCTGTATATAATTTAGCAGCCAACATTTAATACATTAGCACTTCCTCAGTGCCATTATTACTGGGCATTCAGCTAATTATTTCAAGCTTTCTACTTTGGCACATTGAGACAAAGTCAAATGTGAAGCCCAGCCCATGATCATTGAACACTGATGCCAGGTTTCCAGAAGGGCTGGAAAAATTCAGAGCCTGGCTGGACATGGGATGGGTGTGCTGTCTGGCTCTGCTGTGGATATAGGGTTCAGGCAGCCAGATTCCATACAGAGTACCAGTCTATCAAAAGCATTTTCCTTTCTAAGCACTCTTGTGCATAGCATGTCTATTTTCAGGCATTAGAAACATAATTAGTGTTGTCTTGGGAGGCAGCTGGTCAGTCCCAATAGACTTTATTCACATGCCTTTTGGGAGAAGATCCTTGTAGGATCTTCTGCAGTTCATAGCCAAGAATCCTGTAAGTCAGTAACTGGCCTTGAGGGCAATGATAGAGGCAATAAATGCTGTTTCAGTAGCACATTGTGATCTGTGACTGTTTCAAATAACAGCATGAAATAGCACAGGTGCTAGGATCAGTTCAGGAGGTTTTTCATAAAGGCTAAATTAAGAGCTTAATTCCAGAAGCTCTAATTCTTTGAATTTATATACTCTGCAGTTGCTTAAACAATACAAAAATTCCTGTCTCTCTCTTGCTGTCCACATATGCTGACATGACCAGCATGGGTAGAAGCTGATTACTACTTCACACAGCAGCTGAGACCACCTCACTGCTGCTTGTCTGTGGACAATTTTTAAATCTAAAGATGAAGGTGGGCAAGAGAGAGCAAGCTGTTGCTAAGTATGCTAACAAATGCTAATTACAGAAAGGCACTGTGCAGGATTGGTCACTTGTTGAGATTTGGCTATAGGGATGCTGTCTTAAAGAGTCAAGGACAGATTTCACAGTTACTCCTTATAATGGCTTAGTTAAGGAAGATCTGAAAGCCTTAATGGCAGTTAAGGTTTGAATCTGATTTGCTGGTATGTTACACTTAATGCAAATGTTTCAAAACTGAATTATACTAAAAACAGTTCCTTTGTTATATCCATGGACTGCATAACTTTTCATGTTAAAATGGAAAACCATGGTTTTTGTGGCTCAGTACCCTGAACATGTTATAGATGTAAAGCTGCTGTGAACCTCACTTCATACCTTTTCCAGCCTTCCAGCCTTTTTTTCCTTCTCCCTGTTTGAGGCCAGCCCATGGAAAGAAAAAAAACCAAAAAAGCCTGGAGATGAAGACAGAGGGAAGCAAAGATCACAGATATGAACTATTTGTCATGCAGTTATGATCAGAAAGGCTCTCTCAGGGTGTTTGACTATTCTATAATAACTCTCTCCTGTGGATGCTACTTCTGATCTACTCTGCTCTTTTAAAAGAGTAATTACTCCAGGAAAAAGTAACTAATTCCAGGTTAGCATACATGAGGAAAAATTCTAATGGAACACAGGGATAGTTATTTTGAAAATACTTACAGAAGCAAATTTTCTAAGTTAGACAAGGTTAAGAAAACAAAATACAGCATCTAGCAACTGAGAACTATGCCCCAGCTTAGGCTTCTCCTGCCTGTCTGCCTCCAGCATGTAGCAGGTACATTCGGGGACATTTTTCTTCAGGCCTCTGACTGCTGGCTGTGCCACCAGTGCCCTCCTCTGGTATTTATGAAGGTAGCCTAAGGAGCACAAAATATCTGTTAGATACATCCAGCTCAGGAAAGCTGGAGGTGTGAGGGAAGTGTGGCTGTGCTGCACGGCTCTGTGACCCAAATAGTGATGTATTTGCTTTATTGAGAAACAAAAAACTGCATAATTGTTGTTATTTTCCAAGTCCACCTAGGAAAGTGACTGCTCATAAATGAAGCTGTAACTATTTCCTTCTCTGTTCTAGATTGTCCGGCCATCAAATCATGCTACAATTCAGAGCATCGTAAAAGCAGTAGGAATCATTCCTGGCATCCCAGAACCCTGCTGTGTTCCTGACAAAATGAGCTCACTCAGTGTCCTGTTCTTAGATGAGAACAAAAATGTTGTTTTAAAGGTATATCCCAATATGTCAGTTGAAACTTGTGCCTGCCGATAAGTTTGTACAAACACACCTTAAACGAGGCCCACAAATCCTGCCTGACTGCTCTGGGAAGTTGTAAAGGAGAAATGGATCCACTTGTGTTAATGAACCAATGCAAGTCTCCAATTCCTCTACAGAAAGCATGCAGAGAGAGCTAAAACAACGCATGTGCTCTCCTCAAAGGATAGGTCACACTGTCATCATTTGCCTTTCATATTCATCTTCCAGGAATTCAGTACTGCTACAGAGACCTTCCTAACCCACCTAGCCAAGACACCTGCTGTGTAGCGAGAAATTTAAGTGTTTTCCATAATCAAAGGACTAAAATATGTTTTTATATGTTATTTTCTGACTATTTTATCTCTTCAGTTAACCAAGAAGATGGGAAGTGAACTTGCAAAGGCAGGCTTATTTTAGAATATCACTTTTGTACACAAATCAAAATTTTTTGCCTAAAACACTCATACTCTTAATATGTATATTTATACTGAAAAATGCTGTAATAAAGGGCTTAAAATGTATATTTTCTTCAGGATGCAAGTATAGTTCATTGCATAAGTTTCCATATAAACAACATGTTAATATAGTCATTTTTGGTTACCCTTCCTTAATATATAATTTCTTCTACAAAAGACATGTAATATCCCACATTTTTGGTTTGCTGGATAATTTCAGGTTGTTAAACATATTCTCTGAGTAACACATACAATATAGTAATATGTTGAAATACTAAAAATAAAATAACCAAGATTTATATTTTTGTAAATTATGCTTTATATCCTCTAGATTGTTACACGCTTTTAACAAAAGCTAATAAATTAAAGGTACAGTAGTATCTAAAAATAATTGATTGTCTTTCTATAAATGCACTTTCCTACATTCTGTTAATTAGATGGAAACTTGTAAATACACGTTAAGCTTGTCATAATGGGCTTCAATAGATTAAAGACAGAAGGAAATACTATGATCATCCAGACCGACCTCCTGCATAGCACAGATCAAAGAACTTTGCTCAGCAGTTTCTGTACCATGCATTATGAAACTTCTGTTTTAAGCTTGGGAATATCTTTGAAAAACATGCATAAATTTGTCTTTAAAGATTTCATGTGATAGAATATCTCTACTGGACTACAAGTAGTTGTTCCAAAAGTTACTGCTCTCTGTTCATATGCAGTGGCTTAATCCTAGACTGAATTTGATGAGCTTTAGCTTCAATTCAATGGCTCTTACTGTAACCTATTTCATTAGATCCCTTTTATCTATTATCCAAAATACTTTCACTGTGTATTTTTAGTATAGAGAGTAGGGTCAAGTTACATTTTGGCTAAGATTTAAATAGCTTGATTTCTTATTCTAAGCCTTAAAACAATTTCTCACAGCTCCCTTCTGAACTCTTTCCAGAACTTTCATTAACTTTCTTTTCAAACAATGAACATCAAAATGGGAAGCATTTGGCAATGGTTCCATTGGAATTCTTTATAGAAATAAAGTCTCAGCATCCCTCTAACTCCTACACAATCCCCTGTTACATTTATGGTAGCCTTTTAACTGCAGCACTCTTTTAAGAGCTGATGTTCCCATCATGGTGTCTGTCAATCCTCTTAGTGTCCCCATGTTCTGGGACACACTTGCCACATACTTCATTTTCACCCCCCTGCTGTACAATAGCATAAAGAGACCAAGAGTGGGAGAAACATCTGAAGTCTGTAAGGTAGCACAGATTAAAAGATATGGAATGCTTCTTCCTCAAAAAACAGTCTAACCTTAGGCACTACCTTCTCCTATTAAGAGTTGCTTTGTTTAAGGGAAGAATACTACAGTCACTTCCTCTGATGAACAAAGAACTGTAAGGCTCCTAGCCTAGTAAGGTTCTAGGTATCTTCTGCCACCAATTTTCTATGTTCAGGTGGTGCAGATTCTCAGACAACAGAGGTGTGTAAATGTGGTACTTCCTGCTAAAGTACATGAAAGCAAGATTCAGCATGCTTAGGAGGCTTTGCAATGTTACTCTCACAGCAGTTCTTGCTAATTGCTCCTAGAAAGCTCTGACTAAGAAGTAAATAGTTCTATGGTGCCCTGTAGTGACTGCCAGTTATGCCTGAAAAAAGATCGCTGATCAAGTTTGCAGTTCTTCTCCCAAAGTATTTTTGTACTTTGTAAATTACTGCTATAGTTTACACTAGAACTATTAGGAAAAACCTTTGTATAGTGTTGCTTTAAGAGATCTCTCTTAAAAAATTTACAATTTTGTGTTTTCTATAAATCACGAGAAACTCAGCTACAATTTACAGAGTAATGCTAATGTATAATAAAAAAAATTAAAGTTGTCAGTCATCATTCCTACAGAACTATCATAACCATAACATTTTTCAAAGTATCTTAAATCCATGTTATTTCTGCTCTTTATGAAAATCTACCTTTTTATGTAGGTCTACTCTTGCTCCCATTTATCTCTAGATCTGAACAGCCTGACATATTAACTTCATATGCTTATATTCTCCTCTATAGCATTTTGTTTTCCGTAAGGAATATTTGCTCTCTCTTGAATTAGTCCTCAGATAAAAAAATTCTTTCCAAGATGTGCTGATGCAAGCTATTGTGGCAAGAAATACCACACTGTGATCTAAGGTCTATAGGACATAAGGAAAAATACCACTGCTAAGGACACCTACAAAACTCTAAGAAGTTAAGACTATGTTTAAAGTTCTGTTGGCAAAACTATATATACATTATACCTCTAAGTGTGATTGCTCTCAAAACATACCCTTGCTACACAAGTAATACACATCTCTTATTAGTAAATCATATTTCATTTGGAGTTTAGCTGTACTGGTCAATTCTCCAACCCAAAAAAGGCTTTCAACCACTTTTAGTAGTTTAAATTACTCCTTTCTGTATCTTAGGAATTTGGATGTCTAATCTTCCTCCAGAAAGAGAAACTTTGCATTTGAAATGGCACAAGTGCAGACAGCTGTTGCCAGAGGACACTGATACCCTCACTGTCTTGGTTCCAACAGATCTTTTTATTTCTTTGAACATCCTATAAACCATTCTGCTCAATGCTTGAGTTTCTAGAGAAAGTTACTAGTGATAAACACAGGTCAAGGTAATTTCACGAACTGATCCTAAAAGAAAATGGTATGAGTTAAGAAAGATATAACATGAAAACAGCTGATACTAGCCAGCAAAGTGTTGAAACCCTTTTTTTCCAAAAAAATTGCAATTTTATTCTTTCAGGCCCCTGCTTAATTGCCAGAGGTAACAGCAACAGCTACAATGTACCTAGGTTTTTGTGGAGTATTTAGTTCACTTGCACAAGGCTGAATAATTAAAATAAACCACTGGACAATATTAATGTGTTTGTATATTACATTAATTAAAATCTGTCTCACTGCCAAACCTCAAAGAACAGTTTTCAAAAGGAATTTCCACAGAGTTAAACTGTTCATTGTAAAGTTTCTGCACAGCTGACACTTGGCCTGACAGTATTTGACAACTTTATGTATGAACTTAGAGTCTGTATATAGCAACCCACACAGCATTTGCAGGAGGAGAGAGGTATTTATATAGATAGCTTGATCTAGCTGCACTTTATGTAATTAAAATTAATTTTAAAGTAGCTACAGAACTTCAGGTACCTAGGCACAAGGAAGGGAAGCTGCTCCTACTGAGTCCAAGACTGCATGCTTTAAAGTCATAACTCTTAAAAAATTTTGTTGCTGTCATGGATTTGTGATGCAGTTTAAGCATCCAGCACGATGCTGTGTAATGGCAGCCAGTGAAAGCCTTGGAAAGATACACATTGGAGCAGTGAACCACATAAAGAAAGGATGTTTTATTTCTGTATGTGGCACTGGTGGACGGCCACTAGAAAACTATGTATAGCCCTAGGATTCACCTTTTCAAGAAGACATTCAAATTCTGAAAGAGACACAAAAAAGAGAGACCAAAACAGGGAGACAAAATGCCTTTTTTTACTAAAAAGAACGATCTCTTTATCAGAAAGAAAACTGAAAAGTAACTTCATTACACTGTGCAAGCACTTTGACAGGGAGAAAATATGAGTGCTGTAGCCAGAAAGTTACAGGAATTCCTGTCTAGAAGGTAAAGTCAGTCACAATGAAATAATGAATGTGGCATGAAGGGTTTTTTAGCTGTAGGTGATAAACTTTTAGCTACAAAAATTGAAGAAATTTTTGATTCTTTGACACATTCAGATAAAGTCTGTTGGCACTTGAAAGTTATGTTTAGCCAAACACAAGGAATTGGACTCTGCATGTAGGTAGGAAACACAAAGGCCCTGAGTAAATATAAGTCTTGCTATGCAGGAGACCAGCATCAATGCCAAATAATCCTTTTTGCCTTCATGTCATAGGAACATAATTAACCAGGATCTTAGATCCAAGTTATCACTTGAACAGACAATAAGCAAGCATTGCAGAAGTCTCGGATCACTTTAAGTGCTGTGTATCCACTGCTAAAAAACAAGAGGAATGGCCAAAAAAGGCAAAATCTTGACCACATGTCTGCAATGAGATTTTTGTTAATGTAAAAGCTCATAATACTCTTCATTTTTTTTGGCACATCTACAGTATGAAATGAGTTGTTCTTAGAAAAAAATAAAGCATTACTAGTACATAAAAAGTAATTATGTATCGTTAGATTAAATCATAATACATTCATTAAGATAAATAAACCTAGTTTTTCTTCTGCATCATGAGAAATTCATTTGCCTTGACTTGTTCTTCTCATGCACACAATATCTTCAGAGATAATCTTCTGTATCTTCAAAAGGACTTTTTACTTTCCATGTGGCCTTGGAAGGCCTAGTTCTGTCTTCATTTTGAGGTTGCTGAAAAAATGACTGGTTGTTCTTGGACTGGATTGACCATCATAAATCTATGAAATATATTACATAAGATACTATAAAAACAAGCCTAAATTCCCATACACCAAAGGAATCAAACTGAAAATGGACAAGCCTGCAAACAACATGAAGCAAACTTGACACAAAA